TTAGGTGCACATTGCTGGAGCCCCGTGTGACTCAACATGATCACAGCTAACACAGATATGAGATTTTAAAAAAAATACCAGTGATGCTAACTGTGTCGTAGCATGTTAGCTCCGTGTTTCTCCTGCATTGAGGAATTTTCATGACGCCTCCAAAGGCATCATTAGTCAGTGCAAAAGGAGAAATCACAAGATGACACGAGCCACACATTACATTTATAAACCAGTTTTGTTCGTTAGGGTTTCATTCCCTCAGCATGAGAGATGTTCACGTTGATCAAATGGTCAGAAATGACAGGAAAATACTTAGTGTTGTGTGTAGATGCTCTTTAAAGGCCCAGTGTGAGCAGGAAGACGATGCAGCTCATTAGTAAATGCTTTACTGTTAACATTACTGTGAGCTGTAGGAATAAAAACTCAACATACGTCACACATTGACAACTTTAGTGGTTCTAGTGCAGGAGGAAGATGAAGATAGCGATCAGTGACTTTTCCTGGTCGGCCGCTGTAGTTTTTTTTTTTTTTAACCAGCCGTGTTACAGGCAGTGTAAAAAAGCATTTACGGTATTTGTGTGTGTTACCGGTACGTATTTAATTAAAAGTTAAAAACATCTTTCTGTGTAAATATCTCATGTTACAAGGTGGACACCTGCAGCTTATAGACAAGTGGCTGCACTGCATATGTACACATTTGTTTTTCTATTTGAAGATCAATAGTCCGAAAGTTACGGTATTATTTCCAGTATAATGTGTGATGATGATGTGGTTCCACAAACAACAGCACGTTGTGAGCAGGAGAACTGGCCTCATGTATAAAACTGTTCTTAGATTTACACTCAGTCTTAAGGTGAGTGTAAAGTTCTCGGTGTGTGTTTTTCACATCTGTCCAGGTGTTGAGGAACGTGGCGTCTCTCCTGTCGGCAGAGCTGAGGTTCGCGACTCTCTTCATGGCCATTATCTGGTTCTGCATGGCCTTCAGGTTAGTCCGGCATCCACACGTTCATCATCAGGCTGCAGAGGAGACAGAAACGAGAATCAGCATCACCGTGTTACTCTGCTGTCAGATTCTGTCTGCTTCAGTTCACCCAACACAAACTCATGTGTCATGTTGTGGAGGGATTGTGTGACAACATCTGGATTTAACATCTGAGCTGTTGTGGTTGTTTGGTGCTGATTTGTTGTTAAGTTTGTCAACTTTTAATTTGTCTGTTTGTCTGCCTCAGTAGTAATTTTGACCAAAGTCCTCCACGGCATCAGATAAATCAAAGCATTGAAACAAATAAGACCTTTTGTAAAATAAGGAAGATCAACAGATAAATCCACAGTTAAAAAAAAAGAAAGAGTAAGTAGCAGCCCTATTCCTAGCATCTCAGTTATATTGAATAAAACATTCATCATTATTACCTTAAGCCCAAATAAACACATGAAGATGGATTTCTTCTGTCTGACCAACAGTCACAACCTCAAAGTTTATTGTCACAGACAAAGAGCAGACATTCATGTTTTAGAAGCTGATGGCAGTGAAAAAATTTTTACGTAAAAAAAACTTCTATCAACTGATGATTAATCAGCTGTCAAAATGTTTCCCATCAATTTTCTGTCAATAATCAAACAATCCCGTCAGCTCATGTGAATGAAGGAGGTCAAACGAACCAGCTGACGTCTCAGACTGCTGCTCAACAAACAGCCCTCGAACCTAAAAGTGATGAACAAGCTGCACTTTAACCGTTTTAATTAACAGAGTCTCTGTCCTGTCGTCACAGTTATTATGGTCTGTCAGTTTGGTTCCCCGACATGATCAAACACCTGCAGTACGAAGAATACGAGTCCAAGGTGAAGGTAAGAAACAACCGATTACAGCTTCAGAGGAAGAAACATTTAACAGCTGCACTGTTTTATTAATAAACATCATGAGAAAGAAGCAAAACAAATAAGAGTTCTAAAGTATGAAACAGATGGTATTTGTTCTGCGTGGCTTTAAATATAGAACCTAACACATGTGGAGTAAAGATTAATGTTAAAGAACAAATAAAAGGTTAAAAATTGAGTAGCTATATTTATATTTCCTGTCTGCTGAGTTCTCACTTTACAAGCCTTACATGGGATTTATAGATGTGCATTTATGCTTTTAAAGCTGTACGTGGACAGACATGTTTTCTGAGCGTTAGCATGGAGCTCCATCACGTGGAGGCGTCCTGATGCTTTCAGCCTGAACTTTAAGTAAATGAAGCAGTTGAGCACAGATTCATGGTGTTGTGTCTGCATTCAGGTGTTCCACAGAGAACGAGTGGAGAACTTCCACTTCAACTTCTCTCTGGAGAACCAGATCCATAAAGAAGGAGAATACATCCGGGACATGTAAGTGTGATGGCGTGGAGGCAGACCGAGCCGCTGTGAAGGTTGTAGTCTGTCCTTAGTTTAGTCAGACATCAAAGACATGATTCACCTTTATTCAGGAGAACACTTTATTCTTTTCTTTATTTAGAGCAGAATCTTTACATTTTTTATAAAACACTATGAGAACTTGTGTTTTTCTCCATTTATTACAGTAATTACAGAGTTAGTGAAGCGAGAGATGAAGCGTTTGTCTCTCTGTCAGGTTTACTGTCCATCGCTCGGCTCTCAGTCATTTCATTCTCAGTCGTGTTTCTCTCAGAAACAACATGCTGTTGTGCGTTCTGCCCTGAACGTGTGCAGGTGATCACTTTAACCAACAGAAACCCATCAGTTACACAGTGAAGACGATAAACCTGAGAGGTTTATGAAGCTTCATGCTTTTATTTCATCACTGATCTTGGGTACTGAAAGCGGTCCAGTTCACGTCTCTCTACATGCATATACTAGAGGATTAACTGTCCACGCTGGCGAAGATACATCTCCTCATTTTATTACCATGAATCCTGTAAAATCCTCTCAGGATCTTGGAGGACTGAAATCGTACCGACTGCAACAGATTAATACAAATCAGCAGGTTATCTGAACTAGAAGTTCCACGGTTCACTGAGTTGACTCTACCTGCAGCGTTATTAGTCTAAATGAATCCTACATCAACATAAACAGCTAGTATTGCTACACACTGAAGCATTTCAACCTGGTTATTTTACACTGAAATGATAAGAACACATTCTGAGCACACCAGCTGCATATTCCTGTAAAAACTTTATCAACTATTGAGGAATATAACACAGACAGTCGCTGTTTTTAGGTGATCTGACATGTTGTTAGTTGATGTTAGCGAAGCAGAAAACCACTAATATCTAAAGAATTTTTCATTTTGTCATACAAGCACCAAAACTAAGGTGATTTTCACACGGAAAAGAAGCACACGAATTCCTAAAGCGGCGGCCATTTTTCAGTTTCCATCCTGTATATGTTCACACAACGTGATCTTGTAGAGCGACTCGCTTGGTTTTGGCATCAAACTAAATAGCAGTTAGCATGTAGAATCCAAATGTGCATGTTCTAACACAATGAAGTGCATCTTAATAGCGTGTTGTACAGATGTTTTTGAAAACAGGTGTTAATGGTTATCAATCTACTGATGTAATATGTATGGAGTATAGTATAGTATGACTGCCTGGATGGACTCCCGGACCTGGTCCTTACTACTACAGTTATAACTACAGTTAAGCCTTGTTCATCCAGACTCTGATAGTTCAAAGTACTTGCTTAATTAAGAGTTGTTGCAGTTCAGACACTATAAATAAATGAAATAACTCTTAATGATTCAAACCTAAATCAATTTAAAGACATTTTTCTATTATGGGTTTAAACTAATGAGATTTTATTCTCTTCAGAAGGTTCATAGATGCTTTCTGTTGCCACCATCAAAGACTAAAGTGTCAACAAAAAAAACAAAAAAACAAATAGGAGCTACAAGATATGGAAAAAAAAATCAAAAAATAAGACGACAATGTTGAAAAATGGCTGCCATTTTGAATTTTTGTGGGTTTTTTTTGTAACTTTTTATGAGCAGCCTGGAAGTAATACCACATGTGATGCTTGTATGACCAGCTGAATGATTTTTCAGTTATCCACCCCACTACGAACAAACTAACTTCAGTGTGGAGTCGACTCAGAGTAAACGTTCAGTAAATGTTTAACAGGCTCCTTTGAGTTAACAGATTAATCTACTCTTACATTTTTATTGTTCAGAGCAGGAAACTCAGGACAAATCTAAATAAATACACAAGAACGTGCATGAAAACACACATTAGAGAAGTTGAGTTTGCGGCACCGATGTTGGTTAATCTTGGAGGTTTCTGTTTTATTCGTGGTCTTCCGTTTACTTTTATGGCTCTACGTTCAGTCTGAAAATGAGGGAGTGTATCTTCAGGTTCTCGGGGCAGATATACAGTATGACCCACTACTGTATATTACTGAACTTCTACGCTCTCTGCAGAATAAACCAGACAGAATGGGCTTCAGCCATCACTCCAGTGCGATCATAACTCAGCCGAGGATGCTGCTGAACGGAAGCGTTTCCTCCTCAGTATCCTCGCTGGAGGTCATTTTTGGATTTCCCACCTCCAGCCCATTCTGCCCTCTGTGATTCTGTGCTGCTACAGCGATAGAAGTAGACGCCATGTTTTCTTTAAGCCTTTCTCAATCCGCGTTCTGCTCTGAACTCCGTGTTCTTGTGGATTTATCGTCGTCCGTCGCAGCTCGAGAAGAGAAACCGTTTATCTGATTAATGCCGGTTGTGATGATGTGATTTCACTTCAGCAGCGGAGCTCCTGAGATGATCAGGCATTATCAGTAATCAAAGAGACCAATGAGCGATATTTGCCATTAAAAAATAAAATAAAATCTTGGCGTCAAAATTAAGAGGAACAGAAATCCACCACATAACTGAATTGAAATGCCTCTGCTTATTTATGTTTAAGAAAAAGAGACATTTTCAACATTTCCTCTTCAATCTTGATTGGCTGTTATTTGTGACGCGTAACCAATCAGATTGTGCACAAAACCACAGATTGATTAAAGACAGACGACTTCTGTATCTGGAATGGGTAAAAAAAAAAAGCTAAATCAGATTATTTGACCCCCCAGGTCTACTTAGACCATTTTGGGCAGATTTATTTTTATCTCAGCTGCCCTGCGATGACTTTCTGCTGACTCGGATGTCAGGAGTGTTTTGTTATTACTCCTGGAAGATATAAAATCTGACCTCGAGTCGCAATATTTCAAACAAAATCAAGAAATAAAGTTGAACAGAGGCAGTGGGCTCGATATTAACTCCTACTTTACTAATTAAAAACTACATTGGATTAAACACGAACTGTATTTTAGACTACCTCACTGTCATGAAACAGTCTGTTGTGGTGCTTTATAATAAAACAGTCCAGGAACTTCAATGTAGATTAAATTGTTTAACATTAAGGTTTTGTGTTTCCACCGCAAAGCCAAAGAAAGATTTGCCAGTACTTCGCTGACGTACATGTCGTTTGTACGCAGGACAACACAGTGGTGCTGTGAAGCCTGATCTGTGTAACTCCACTGGACACAGAATTAAAATCGAATGCAGTTTATTTCTGCAGCACCTTCTGAAAACAACCCAAGTTAGCTAAAGTGTTGTACATGTTATAAGACAGGAAGCAACAAAAATATGCCGAAAAAGTAAAACCAAAGGTAGGATAGAAACTTGTAGAATCAATTTATACAAAAAACAAGACGAAACATTTCCATCCTCGTCAGTCCAGTAGTTTTAAAATCTCTCAGGTGGCTCCTTCTTGATTTTCGTGGCTCAAAAGCAACACTCCAAAATCCTGAGGTTTATAAAAAGTCGCTCATCGGACTAACCAGCGATGTTCCTGGACCTTTAGAAATCTCCAGGAACTTTGTTTAGATCCTGGTTCCTCGGGTGGAAACTCAGACAGATGAGAGTTCCTCATAAGGTTCCAGTCATGTGGTGAACCTCTGAGTTGACATTATTTAGACTGCGTCCGTCTTGTAGCTCCTCCGTCCCCACAGCTCGACTCCCAAGAACCCCAGTCGGAGCTCTGCATTGAGAAAGGCCTTCTGTCTGTTGGTGTGTGTCCATCCCATCCTCATAGGTTCGTCAGTATAGAGATGAAGTCAGTGACGTTTGAGGACTCTCTGTTTGAAGACTGTCACTTTAAGGACGTCAAGTTCACAGACACAGTGTTTGACAACTGCACCATCCGCTCCACCGTCTTCTACAACACAGGTAGGTCCGGCTGCACCGAGCTGCACCGAGCTGCAGTGCCGACACCCCAGACAGGACTGAGGGCAGCTTAGAGGTCCCACGTGACATCTGAAGTTTTAATTTAGGGGAACGAATGTCCGCTGTGATGTTACATGAAGCAAAACCAGCTCGTTGGTCTGTATAAGTGGGACTAAAGAGGAAAAATGTTCTTAGAAACCAGAACTGTGCCAGAGAGAGAAGCTCCAACAAATACGAGTAAATTATTTGGTCTAAATGTTGAAAAATTGTTTAAAAAAATGTCTTGTCTTGACTACAAGCTATAGATTTTCAGTTTATCGTCATAGAGAAAAGTAATGAGAAAATACTCAATGTTAAAGAAGCTGGAATCCAAAAAAAATGGACTTTTTTTTCTTAAAAATTACTCAATTATCCAAAATATTTGGGAATTCACTTAATAGTTCATTACTAATGGAATAGTGGTTGCAGCTCTAAAGCGAAGCTACAAAGCATGAACGGCTACAGAGGAGTTTTACTGCCCGACAACCAAAAAATGTTCTAAATAACGACATTAAGCTACTTTAACTGAAACCTGTTTTGTAACCTGTTCAGTCAGACCAGACCTCCTGCTGCTCCTGGAGCATACCACTGCCACTAGTGGACAAACATTACACACTGCAGCAACACCACAGCTACAACACGTCTTCATTTACGTTGTGCTCCATCAATTTTAAACAGAACTGTTTCCCTCTGTGTGACGCGAGTCCTCAACCACATTAGCAACTTTTAAAAACGTCACATTGAAATCTAAAAATGTCACAAAGATAATTAAAGTCATCAGCAGTTTGTTTGGTCTGACAGAGAAACAGATGCTGCCGGTTTAAGTCATGATTCGATGATTCTAGCGACTGATTTCCATGTTAAATTCCCACTAGTCGACTTGTCTAAAAGTATGAAACTGTAGTTGTGCTTTAATCTGGATCATTCTGTATTCAGGATTAAAATAACTGAACTGTCAGAAGCCTTCAGCAGAGTTGAGTGGAAGCTTATCTTCAACACTCTCTGCTGCGTTTTCCATTTCGACTGAGCAGCACTTGTTGCTCCGATCAAGGTGTAATGTCTCATACTGACAGACTGCTGGTTTTATGATATCTGGACATCAGCACAATAAGAGGGGAGCTGCTTAACATCCTAAACACAAGCTAACCCATGTTGTACATGAATTAGTTTAACCAGTGAGTATTTCTGAAGCTGACTGGTGAAGGCGATCGCTCTCTGACCAACAGACTGAAGAACGTTGTTTCATCTCAGCTTAAACAGAACAATAATCAACTGTTTCCAGACCTTGTTAGCATCTGCAGTTTTACCGATTCTGAACTCTGCATCAAACACTTTCTACTAATTTCTAACCCCATCCGTGTTTTATTACATACATTTCTGCAACCACCATATTTTATAACAGATCACAAACCTGCCACAACTACACATCCTCATGTCCCAGTTCCACAAACAGAAAGCTGCATCGTCTTTGTTTGAGCAGGTCAATAACTGGTCACTCACATAGACACTAAACAGTTAAAGGCCCGTAGTGGATCCTCTGGGGACCCCGAAGCTTCACCCTGTGCCTCGTGCTCTCTGCAGACCTGTGGGAGGAGAAGTTCGTCAACTGTAAGATGGAGAACGTCACCTTCGAGCACAACAAGCGCGGCTGCCACCTGGACACCACGGAGGAGAACGACGTGCTCATCTACCTGGTCAGCTTCCTGGGCAGCCTGGCGGTGCTGCCGGGAAACATCATCTCAGCGCTGTTCATGGAGAAGATCGGCAGGGTCAAGATCATAGGTGACTCCTGGAGGCTTTTATGTCACTGTGTTATTTCAGAACTCCCAATGCATTCAGGTCTTCAGCGCAGACTCTGTGATCTCCGCAGGTGGCTCCATGCTCATCTCAGCAGGCTGCACCTTCTTCCTGTTCCTGAGCTTCAGCCAGTCGGCCATCATCGCCCTGCAGTGTCTGTTCTGTGGCGTCAGCGTGGCGGCGTGGAACGGCATCGAGGTGGTGACGGTGGAGCTGTACCCCGCCTCAAAGAGGTACCGCTGCTGCTTGTTTTATACTGCAGCACGAAGCAGTATACAATGCAGTTTTATTAACTGCTTCTGGACAACATCTCCTTCAGTCAGACGTCCTCTGAAGTATGAAAACGTTACTGGTGTTTAGAAGAGGGCACATCACTGAGGAACATCTTATTTTTAACTCTTTTTGGTGACAGTGTGCTACATTAATGAACTCAACCAAAGATATCTGAAGACACAACAAGCTAATATCTGACAGGTGCCCTCAGAATAAGTTTAGGTAAACACAACATTTATTCCTGAAATGTCATCAGAATTCCTAAAGTTGCTTCAGTTTATAATTTTAAATAAAAAACAAAATGAAAAATTCACCAGGTGCCGTCCTGACACAAAGGCACAACTGCAGCTCCTGCAGAGCTCAGAGTCACAGCTGATGCAAGATTATCTTATCTGATGCAGTCTGGAAGAAATGTTGCCGTACTCTGGGGTTGTTTGGATGACAATTTCAGGGTGATGCCCTTGATTTGAATCCCAGTGTTTGTCTGAAAACAAACAGCCCTAAAAAAAACGACCAATCAGGCGTTCATCAGCTACACAATTGACACCTTCAACCACAGCTCTTAAAAACATAAAAACAAACTAATAGTACAAAACACAATGTCCAAATGATCACTAGAATCAATAGTTGAAGTTTTACACATTTAATAGCATGAACTAAATGCTAACGCCGACCTCTTTGTTGTGTTTTCAAGTAAACGAGCAAAACAAACAAAAAAAAACACTCCTATTTTTTGTTGGAACAATTTAATTTAAGATACATCTATATGTTTAAATTCCATATGTATAATTTCAACATTGTTTTTTATTGCTGTTGATTTGTTTATTTTCATCTTTTTAAGAGATGTAGAGAAACGTGTGTGTGTGTGTATGTTTAGAAAATCTGTTAATAATAGTACACAAAACATGTATTTGTAAATAATGAAATAAAAAGGGAAATATGAATCAAGCATTTTCTGTACATATTAGTAATATTATTGTACCAAAAGAGGGTAAAATTGGAAGCTAAATATTTTCTATACAACCACTATTCCTTACTTTCTGTGTGTTTTATATATTATAAAGATAAATAACTGAAGGGGGTCAGATCTACTTCTGGTGATGTTCCTCATTTCTTTGTCGATTAAACTGAAGTCTAAATTTAGTCCAGTTGGCTGGTGTGAAAGTTAGAAAAAAGTCCAAACTGAGGACAAATTACCTTCAAAGTTTAATATTGTTTTAAAAAGCCATTAGACACTGTCCTGATGGAACGTCTCGTCAGTCACAGTGCATAAGCATGGCAAGGATCTTCAAAATAAAAGTCCTGCTGACAGCTTGAGTCTCTGTAACGTCTGTGTTGTTTGTCTCTGTCTCCAGGGCGACGGCGTTCGGCGTGCTCAACGCTCTGTGTAAGCTGGCCGCCGTCCTCGGCAGCTCCATCTTCGCCAGCTTCGTGGGCATCACCAAAGCCGTGCCCATCCTGCTGTCCTTCGCCGCTCTGGTGTGCGGCGGCCTGGTGGCGCTCAAACTGCCCGACACGCGACAGAAGATCCTGCAGTGAGGCGGCGGCGGGGTGAGTGACGGGGGGGAGGGAGGGAGGGTGGGAGAGGAAACGTATCCGCTTCACGTTGGAAGCTGCTGAAGCGACTCTGACTTCACTCTGCACTCGAAGGAGGAACCAGTCACAGCTGTTACGTGTCCAACGCCGAGCGCCGATTCTCCATTTTGTACAGGGGGAGGCTGGGGGGGGTTACTGCAGCCATGAATCCACTGAGACACTGGACCTACTAACCGTTCAAAGATGTGAGTGAGCACTGCTGTCGTTTCGGAGGCTTCAATCACACGATCTAACCGCTCCCCGTAGTCCTGTGCATGACGGGGAACGATGTCCGACACCGGCCAGCTGTTCCCTGTGACCCTGTAGGCTTTCCAGCTGTTCTAGTAAATAACCGCCTGCGTGTTCACGTAGCGGAAGAGGCTCGTTTGAGGTTTGAATCTTCGGGAGTTTTGCAGCAGTTCTACCTGAGAACACGGTTACCGGAACGTCGTTTAGGCCGTCGCACACAGTTGACATGCAGCGACTGCACATCTGGAGTTTGTTTTCTCTCCAAACCAAACACAAACTTAAGACAGTTTCTTCAGGAGGAAGCTTCAGCTGCTCTAAAAATTTAACTTGATGCGTCCACTTTCATTGGTCACAGTCTCTGACCCTCTAACTGTCGTGAACAAGGTACTCAGAGATGTAAAAATACCACTAAGTTAAAGTCCTGTGTTCAACAGTTTACTTTAATGAAAAGATGAAAGCTTCAGCATCAAAATAAAAAAGTAAAAGTAGCCACTCTGCATCATAATTATTGATGCATGTTTGTCTCTTTAATGCTGCATTTGGTAAAAATGATTCTAATGTTCACTGCTGGTTAGTTTGGAAAAGCCCAACAACATTTCATCTAACAACAACAACAGCACACCAGAGGGTTATTAATCTGAATATACAGAGTATTTTATGTTATCGGGTGAATGTAGTGAAGTAAAAATGACTGTTTGATTTTTTTAAAGTAGCTAAAAAGGGAAATCCTGAAGTATAATACAAGTGAACTGAAACTGTACTTAGTTGTCATCATTACTCTCAAACTAGCCATATAAATCAGTAAGTTCAGTCTGTTATCTCTCTGAAAAACTACATGTCAACATGTAAAGTTAGAATTTTTCCCTTCAGCCTAAAGCAGGTCCCTTGAACCAGCTGTGGAGGCCGTCAGAGCGCTGCCATGTTGGTTAGATGACCACAAACACAACCGTATTAGTTTGTCAGTAGCTGCAACAATCAATCAATCAAAGTCCCAAAAGTCAGTTAATATCTGCCTCGTTTTTATGTTTTTCTATTCTATTGCACTGATTTGAGATTAACTAAACACCGCAGTCTCCCCTCTGGTTACCATAGAAACTGTAGTGTTTATTCAGAAATAAGTCAAAAGCTGCATCTTAAACTAAACACAACAGAACTAGTCAACCAGCTGACGTGGCCTCAGACTACAGTGGAGTTCATGTGATTTAATGTGGTCGAGCTGCCTTTAAATCACACATTAAACTGAACTGAATTCCAGATTCATTAATCAAACTGGGTACGGTTTGTGTAGCTGCTGCTCTGCGACTTCGTGCGACGGCGTAAACGTTCAGCTCTCCAGTCGTCGTCTCGTCCTGATGATGCTGTACTCGTCTGTGTCTGTGCTCCGTTGTACACAATCAACTGTTAGTCAACTATGTATTTATAATTATTTGGTGAATCTGAAGAAATAATGGATTTAAAGTCAAGCTGAAATGTGAATTCTCTTTTTGTTCTCATATCAGGGGATAGAAACTATAATCACTGTAAATGTTGTGAGTTGTTTTGTTGAGCTTTTCTGACTGACCTCCAATCAGCCGTCTGACTATGTGACATTAGCAAAGCTGCAACCAACAATGAATCCTTTAAACTTCACAAACACCTGTTTACAGCTTCACACAGCCGAAGATGACGTCTGCAGATGTCTTAGTTTGTTCGATTGACAACCACGACTTCAAAACATTTAGGTTACAATGAAAAAATTTAAAGAAAACAGGAAATGACTCACGTAAAGTCTGAAATCAGAGAAACTGTGGCTTCATTTTTGCTCCATAAATGACTATTTATGAGCACAAACTGCTGGACGACATGGATGAAAAAATGTAGTTAAAGCTGAATGTCCAAGTTTTTCAACATTATAAATGTTTAACGTATTTTTAAAATGAGATTATTCAGATAATGTGTTTTCCTTTCTTCTGTAATCTCTTTCCCTTCCTCGTCTTACTGGTGACACTGGGAAGTCATTGTAGCTGTAGTTTAACAAAACAGGACGATATGAATCTGACAAGCTTTACAAACAGCAGCTCCGTTTAAGTCACATTCAGCAAAACCAAACCGTCTCCGCAGCTCAATGTTCATTTTTCACGTCACGCAAAAACACAAATTTGTCCAAACACATTGTCCAGCTGTTAGAGTCTCCACTGTGTTGTTCATTTAATGTAAGTGTAAAGAAGGATTTATGGTCTGTTGGGTCCTCCTTCTTTCCCTCCACAACTTAGTGACAATAAACAACATGTGCATGATGTTTAGTTTTCATTTTTTCATTTAAAAAAATTCCATCTCTGCTGTGAAAGAAGCAGGTTGAACCTTCAGCCTACGTTCCTGTGCTGCACATGAATTCGTACTTAGATAAAGTCGCTCTAAAATCTAAAACTGGAACTATTAGTTGCAGTTTTCCAGGTTTCAAGGACTTCAAATGTGAGAATTTGAAGTTTTCTTGGTTCGACAAAATAAGACATTTTCAGGACGTCGTGTTCGTCACTGTTTTGTAAAAGCCTGGTCGCTTAATCAGCGCTAAAATAACTGGTAGCTGCAGCTCTGCTCTTTGTACTCATTAATTAACCTCTGAGCTGCTTCAGTGTCATTTTATTGTGAAGGATATAAATACTGAGATCTCAAAAGTGAATTCTAATTTCAGTTTGACTTCAAGAACTTAATGTTGAAGGCGGCAGCTCTTCCTGCCTCTGAGTACTAACCACGTTTACCTGAAGGCGATTGTTGGCATGTGATCGTTTCACGCGCAGGTTTTACCGTCAGACTAACAGAGAAGCTTCACATCAGTGAAATCCTGAAGCGAAGCAGCTACTTATGTGTGTGTTGAAGTTTGTCTCTTGTGCTGTGTGTCCTGCATGAGTTCTATCACCTCGTTCAGCGGTACAGGAGGACACAACACCTCAGTGGACCTGTGTACTTTTACCTTCCTGTCTGGCCTGAGTTCGTAGAAGAAGCCGTGTTGGTCTGCTGGATGTGTTCATGTCGTCGTTTCCTTTTTAATCAGCTCACTCTCACCTCCCCTCTTATTTTCCTTTGACTTATTCTGGGCCTAAAATGAATAAACAGCTTTAAAATTAATTTAATCTTTGTACGGAGCTCCGTAAAGGTTCACAGTGAGAAACGTTTGATTTGTTTTCACTTCGCTCTGATCCATATTCACAGTTCTGTGCCGGTCCAGTTCGATTCTAACAGATTTAGGGAAAGTTATGTGATTCCAACAGTGTCCGGCTGCTGGTTCTAGTTATATGTTGATGGTTCAAGCTGTTGATTTGTCCAGATGTGCTTTTATGACCAATGTGTTTATTTTGGAGTTCAGGAACACAGTAGCTTTAATTACAGCTCAATGATTTGGAGGAAACTCTGTGATTGACCAGAAAAAAATAACTGCATAAAATATAGATATTTATAAAGATACTTGTGAGATTTTAGCTTGTTGATTTTTTTATTTAAATTATTCAAAAATGAGGCTTAATGATGGTTTAAATTAGCTTATCTATAATCAGAGACCGATCTATTTTCCCCAATATTTCCGACTCTGTGGCCACAGTTTCACCGTCACAGCAGGACACCGTCTCAGATCAGACTTTAAAATACGAATAATGAGCAATAGAAGCAACATGTAAAGAGTCACATCCTTTCTGTTGTGTCTGCACACAGTTTCCTTAAACTGGCAAACTTAACAAACCACCTGTTCACATGGATCACAGTGAGGGAGAGTCGGAGGGAAAACAAATCATAAAATTAGGTCTCTGTGTTATTGCACCATCTTGTGGAGGAAACTCACAGCTTCCTGTTTGTATTGACAGCAGGAATCGTGCTGTGGCCGACAGAAGCACAGCGCTTCAGCTACAGGAAACATGACGCAGGTCTTAATTACAACAGTGGATCTCATGACAGTTCATCTGCCTTGTACATGTAATAAATATAAGAATTACTTCACAGGAACTGTTTCTTGAGAGCAGCTCGTTTGTTTAGACGATTAATCTCACATATGTATTATGTCGACAAATGCAAATTGAAAGAAGACTGTACACGTCCACTAGAGACAAGAACGAGACCAAAACCTCACACATGTGGAAGATATGAATCCTAACATTAGCAATAATGATGGGGATGAAATTAAATGTTAAAATTACGTTAGAGACTCGCCTTGAATAACAAAGAAGCTCCTAAAACAAGTTGTTCTGTGCTGAATGAAGAGCTTTTATTCCACTGTTCCTAACGTACAGCAGCTCTGCGCTGACAATCAGTTCATCTGTGAAGCACTGTGTGTGCACATCAGTGCCGTTCACAGCGCTACAGCTGATTATAATTAGAGACTAACGGTCACGAGATGTTAAAAATGATTAAACAGGATCATTTTACTGCACTTTGATTCTCGTTGCTTCAGCTTCAGACGTTTTTTTTTTTTTTCTGCCCCTGCTTTTCTTGTCGTTGTGGCTCAGCAGTAAACCTGGAGTTTGGGTTTGTGGACGCTGGACTTGTCCTCTTGTTTTTCTTGTACTGTTTGATGCTGCAGCTGGTTGTGTAAATGACTGCATGTTTGTCTAATGTGTTCTCTCTTGGCTCTGTGTTTTCAACATAATGTGTAAGTTTGACATGGTCTGAGTCTGTTTTTAATCAATAAAAGGAGGAAACAGCAGCACTTTGACACTGATGAATGGCCGCTGGCTGGACTTGCTCTCTGCATGCGACTCAGTGCGTCTACGTCCCTCCACTGAAACCACTCTGACCCTCCCTCTGTTAGAGAGATCAGCTGGTGCCTCCAGAGCCAAAGAATCCAATAACAAGTAGCTCCTTTTTTGTAATTCAACTCATTTATGTGCACTGGTTTCATTTCAGCTCAGCTTGAGAGGCTTCATGTGTGTTCAGTTCTGTACTTTACAGAACCTTAAGAGACGACGATCCAACAGCCTGTTCCACACCAGGACGGCCTGATGTTTCCTCTTTAAAGGTGTTAACGCCTTAACGTCAGCAGTACAAACTCACACTGAGTTGACATAAAACTAGTGCACATATATGAAGTAAAGAATAAAACACTTTGTTTTTTGGGGAACCTGCTGAACGCTGGACTGAACTGTCGTATTTCCGTTGCAGCGAGTGAAATGTTAGTGAAATGCAGGGAGGGCCGTCAGATTCAGAGGACGGGGCTCACATGCATTAACCTGCACACACTGCCCCTTATTATTGTTCAGAATCTCAAAACAAACCTTGAACATTTCCTACTGGAAAATGACTCCAACAAACACACAGCATGGCCAAAAAAAACAATGCAAACCAACCACAAAGAGACTGAACATGAGCTGAAGGAGACCTGAACTGACCAGAAAAACCATCTTGTGAAAAAGAGCCTTAAACCGGGAAAACAAAAAGGTATAGAGCAACTGTGAAGATTCACGAAGCACCCAGAACAACACATGAACGGATCATAGATGTACAGAAACGACTAAACTGACCACCACAGAGACACTGAACCGCTAGAGTCCAAAAACAAGCAGAAAGAGACGCAAACAGACCACACAGAGACACTAACTAGCAAAAAAAGAGACGTAAAAAGGAAATGGGCACGAAGCAACTGCAGAGACACTGAAAACAACCAGAAAGATATGCAAACGTATCACAACACACACAAAGCTGATGTAAAAAATACACAAAATGACCACAAAGAGATGCAACAAATCCACCAGAAACATACGCAAACACATTTCAACTATAAAGAACCTAAAAAAATACAACAACTGATCACAAGGAATGAACCCTGAAGAGACTTAAAACAACCAGAAAGACGCACAGATGATCCACAAAGAGACCGAACCAGCAAAAGAGACTCAAAAAAGACATAAAACGACCACAGAAACCAGAAACTGACTCTAAACCACTGCAAAGACACAACATTAACAACGTAGACACTCAAAAATGAACACAAAATGAGCACTACAAGATATGAAACAGCCAGTAACACACCTGCAGTGTTTGAGTACTGGACGCTGTTTCAGTTTGTGAGTTCAGCTTCACTGCCGTCCTCTAGCTCTGCTGCAGCGCCGCCTACTGGACTGTTTACAGCAACATTAGCACTGGAAGCTCCCGACTGCTTCAGTGAGTCTGAGATCATCTGTTAAAGTGTTAATAGTGACGTATGTTTGTTTGATGTTCAGTATCGGCTCCAGTTGTACCAGTGAAGTGGATTTTTATTCATTTATTTGCACCTGATTTGTTTTTCTGGCGCTACTGTAAAGACATCATTTCTTCGTTGGGATATTTTGTCTTTTAAATCCTCGTCTTTATTTGGGTGCAAAATGTAAACGTCGGCCTGTTTCTGTGTGTATTTGTGGCTGCGACAAACCAGCCAATAAAAGGAGTTTATCAGCGCACCGACAACACTCTGGTCGCTCTTTGTCTGCAGTTTGTGTCATTACTCATGTTTTTGTTGAGAAAACCTGTTTGCAGGAGGTAGATTACTCACCGCTGCGTGTCAGTGCCTCTCAAGTCCAGTCTGGCTGCTGAACCAGTCCAGAACCTCCTGTTTGTTCTGCTCCAGCCACTTGATGTTGGCCCTGGTCCTCTCCAAGGCCTGATCCACGGCCAGCGAGGCCGAGCCGAACCCTGCGGCCCCGTGCTGCTCCACAAACTCCTCCAGCTGCAGGAGGAACCAGGACACCAGCTCAGAGCGTTTCCCCATTCATCATGTTGGGAGTCCTCACATTTATCTTGTGTCTCTGAATGTTAAACTGAATATAAAGTAGTTCAAACCTGCTGCCGACACACTGACGCTTCACTTTTTTTTTTTTTTTTTTTTAACTGCCTGTTGACTCACTTTTTTTCCCCTCAAATTGGAATTTGAGTCTGTTTGATTAACGATATCTCAGGAACTGTTAAAGACAAAAGCCTGAAATGTTCACTGGTGTTTCAGACTGATTCAGACTTTTCATGACGCCTTCAAATACATTAAAAGCTGTGACAAAAACTCCCATCTTTGAGCTCACAAATAAAAAAATGGATAAAAAAGTCGACTAGTGATATCTTCTGAGCCACGTGTTGCTGCCTGTCACAATAATACAAAACAACGTATACACACTAAATACATGCCATGAGAATTTAAAAAGTTGTTTTCATTTGAGTTTGTACGGCAAGAACAAAAATATTGGTGGATTGCCTTATCGAAGTAGAACAGAGTTTCTTTACTTTTTTTTGCCCCCAGATTTCAACTCTTGCAGAATCAGACGTTATTAATCTACTTGTCCAATATTGCAGATTCTGAATTAATGACATGATGAGTGTTGGAGCCATTTGTATGTGTGTTCAGGTCATTCCCCGATTGCCACAGTAGGTGGCGTATTGGACAGCAGCACATGGAAATGTAGAAGTAGAAGAAGAGGTAATTACTCTTCAGGTGTGCTGCTTACCGGGAGAAGCACACCGTTTTTGACCGCCGCCGTTAACCTTTAAGCCTTTTGTTCGTTTTCATGCAACTTATAGATGTAAGTGTGTCCATAGCAAAGGCTGTGGAGGTACACGGCGGTAAATAAACACATCTTAAACACAAGTCCGCAGATGTTTGATTTACTGCGTGGAGCCATCACATGACGACATGTCTATTACATATCTCGGTACCAGCCCCTCACTGTGGCTTAAGTTTTTTGTTTTTTTTGTCGAAATCAAGTCACTACAACGAGAAACAACAGGATTTTATCGTTCATAGTTCCTGAGATGTTGTCGTTCAAACAGCCTCTAATTCCAGAGTTCAGTGGAGTGTTGAGCACCTACCTGTTGGAGTTCAGCAGGTGTGGAGAATCTCGCTGTGACTCCAGTGATCATGGAGGCGAAGGAGAAGGAGCCCACGCCGTATCTGAAACAGATTTTATTTTGCAGGTCAGAAATCTCTGGAACCACCAGTGAGTGTTCAGGACGTAGTATGTGATCCTCTGTGGTTTTGCAGGTAATAAAGGCAACAATAACAACATGTGCAGCAGCTAAAAACACAGCAAGAGTGTTGAGGTAATTGTTTGAGTCGATGATTGGACGAGTTGAAGATGGTCAGAATGCAAACAGTGTGACAGAAGATGTAAAGAAGGAAAGAGCTCAGAGACAGACGTCAGATCTGTACACAGAACTCAAGCTGACAGAGTTTCAGCTTTTACTTTATATCTACCAACACGTTGTCTCAGCGTTCCTGAAATGTTCCTGTTGAACTGAGACCATCTGTGTGGAGTTTTTCTGCTATTTGACCTGACTGTGGTTCCATCTCCACAGCAGCCTCCCTGTTTATCTGCTGTACTCACTGGGTGAACATGTACTCCCACTGCTCCCTGACAAAGCTCCAGGCCAGACTCTGTCCTGCTCTGTTACTGGCCACCGACGTGATGACGGAGGTGGCGTCCTGTTTACGGATCAAAGTGGAGTTCAGGGTGAAAGACAGATACCTGTGAAGGACAGAGAGACGCCTACTGTTAATGCTGCACCGAGTTAGGTTCATGTCTTTTTTTATCCAAGATTAGAAGCATATTTGTAATGAGTTAATTCTTTATGAACAGCATTTTAAAATAAAACCTAAATCTGTCTTTAGTTCCTTTGACAGCATTCAAACTGTGACTTAATTATTAAAAACGTATCATCTAGAACAAGTGGTTTAAGGACTAATAAAAATGCTCAAAACTAAACAAGACATCATGAAGTGAATATTTTAAAGCAAAACAACCACACAACTGTGAAACATCTTTAAAAATTCACAATATTATTATTATAAAGGTATATTTTTCCTGTCGATTTTTCACAATAACTTTCAGCAGGTTCAAGCTGAGCAGTGACATTCTTCCTCCATCTACAGGTCAAAATATTAATTATTAGTATTAACTATTAGAGCGTGAAGAGTTGAATGAAACCTAATTATTATCTGTTTTATGATCAAATATTAAAGCATTTAATTTTTTTTAAAAAAAGGTTAAAGAACATCAACCTAGTGCAAGAATTTATTGACATTTCTGTAACTGATATATTTTTGTCAGTACAACTGCAACTATTCGTTATTCTGTTGATCACGTTATGGATTAACTGATCAGTTGTTTGGTCTCTAAAATGTCAGAAAATATTGTGAAAAATGTTGATCAGTATTTCCAAAAGCCATAAATGGCAAATGTGTTGGTGTTACTGTCACAGAGGAGGAAAGAAACCAGAAAATATTCACCTTTAAGATGCTGCAATGAGAGAATTTAGACGTTTTTTTCTTTTTATTTAAATCAACTAAGCGATTATCATAACAGTAAATGATTAATTTTAAAGTTGGTAACTAATCTATTAATCGTTGCAGCTTCATACAAACTGTCACAACAAAGTCACACTTTTACTTTTAACAACATACGACGTCCCAGTTTACAGGATTTTTGAGAGAACTGAATCCATGTTTATAACGTGCAGACACCGTGATGTCTTTCTGATGTTTTACCCGTGTGAGGGATGAACTCCACACTCACCTCTGCAGCAGCTGCGTGTCGGTGGTACAGGCCAGCGCAGACATCAGTTTACTGGCCTCGCTGGCTAAAGACGCCTGTTTAAACTGCGACCATCCAAACTGCCACTCGGCCTCGCCGCCTGCTGCCACGGCGCTGCAGTAAACAGCTGAGCGCAGGTTGGGATGAATCCTGAAGAGACAGTTAGGTCAGGAGATCAGGAGGTGAAACATCTCGGCCTGTTAGAGTCACTTAAAATAAAAAATAATATAAATCCAGACCCATTAAAGGCTGTTGACTGTTTAATAGAGCAGGTGGTTTCATGTACTCTGTTACTGCAGGTCTGTTATGATGCAGAAACCAAACACGTTGCTGTGATTACTTCATTAAATCTTAATTCATCTATAAAAGCCGACATGACCAGACTCCTCTCTGGGTTTCTAACTCAGTACGAGGAGAATCTCTGAGGAGCCGTTTAGGAACTGGACCCTGATTGATGACTTAATTTCATGAATCTTCTGCTTCTTGTTGCACTTTTATAATTTTTTATTTACCTACAGTGTTTTGTTACTCTGTGTGTCCTTCGCTGTGGAGTTTTATTTATTTAAAACAGACTTTAAGGAGGAACCTACATGTTGTTTTGAGGATCGTCCATCCACTGTTTGAACCAGGTTCTGGTCAGGTTCTGACACTCTGCTAGTCCGGTTCTGCAGGCTGTCCGGAGGGCGTTCACCTGGTTATACCTGCAGGAGCAGACGGATGAGTTTGTCATTGTTCATTTAATGGCAATTCTGGGTCCAAACGATGCTTCAGATCTTAAGGGAAAACAAACGTTGAGGCGCCACTGAGGGTTAAAAAAGTGCAGCTGTTCTTCCAGGTGGTCCAATTAAAGGTGGAGTCCAGGCATCCATGAAAACAAGGATTTACGAGGTGAGTTTGAAGCTAGCTGACAATTAAAGATGACAATCGGATGAAAATGAACAGACTCGCTTTAGCTTTCAGCTTCATTTACATACGTAGCAACGGGCCGGTGAAGTAAACATAAAGATCTGTCACCTCCTGGTTCCCTACAGAAGATGTTCTGGCTGATAAAAACAGCACTGCAGCGTCTTTTAGAAGTGTGTCTTTTGAACCCCTTGAAGTGATAAAGGTTGGGTCAGTATATAATAAATTAAGAGCAACATGGACACGGTGGATATCTTAGAAGCACAGAGGAGCATAACTAACTTCTGCAGTCCTTATGGTGTAATCGTTCTCTGGTTGTAGCTTTGAGTCTTATGAGTTTTTAAACACTTAAACGTTTGTGGCACTAACAAAAGGCTGCATGCTGTTTGGCCGTAAGACTAATCCAACAATAAGGGGTACAGTCCAGGAACTGCATGAACAAGCAGACAGGTGAGTCTTCTGTCATATATTAAATATGTAATTATTGTTATATTCTTGACTGAATTTTCCTGTAAAAATTCAGGAAATCCTTCGAGGAGGATTCTTCAGTTTGCTGCTGCAGTGACATGCTTTGATGCAGACATGTTTTTTAGCCTGAAAAGAGTCTAGAAATTAGTCAGACTTGAGCTGTTTGAGAGTTAAAAACCTACAAAATGTTCCTCTGACGTCTTGTCACTCTTTATTGCTGCCTACTTGTGGTTGTGTGTTGTTGTGTGTTCAGCTGAGTGCACTCACTGGTCGGTGTGTCCTTCAGGAACACGACTCCAGTCCGACGTCAGGTTCTTGAAGTACGTGAAGAGAGGAGTCACCTGCTTCCTCAGGTAGTCCTGAGACAACACACAGAGGAGTGACAGCTGACTTCTAAATGCCACAAAGACCGATCACAGCTGTAAGAGCTAAAGCGTAACGTCTCCGTACCTGCATCGGCTCATAGACGTCGGTTCGGTCCAACATGAGGTAGTAGTAGTTGAGGTTGTCCAGAGCGGACTGCCAGGGCATGAAGTCCGTCTCCAGGGACAGATAGGCGGTGGTTCTGAGAGCCAGAGTGGTGGAGACCAGCTGAGCTCTGCAGCACAACAACATACCAAGTGTTGTTTATGTAGAAAAGAACAGATCTTTATTGTCACTGTTAACATCAACGGGAGGCAGTTTAGCAGCTCTTTGGATCAGCAGCACAAGAACAAAGAGCTCGGAGTCATTACAAATAAATAAAGTCATCACAAAAAACAATAAAGATCAAATACTATTTTTAAAAAAAATGAGAATGCACTGTGTAAAAACAAGAGTAATAAAAATAGAATTGTACATTAATGCAGAGAGTAACGTAATGCAGGTGTTTAAAAATATTAAAACCTGTTCTAATAATGGTCTAAAAGTCTGAAAAACACCTGCAAGTAACTCCAATGTTACTTAGTCAGTAGTTATTGAATGTTGTTATTATTATTCTAATTCATTAGTTCATGTGTTAACTTAAATCTGTTACGTATTAATGTTTTGTGTTTTAATTTCGTTATTTAACATAAAACGGCAATGCTTTTATTTTGAAGGGACATTAGACAGAAAATATGGAAAATGAAAAAATGTAGCGGTTGACGCCAACGGTAAAGTAACATAAAGTTAAGAGACAAAACAAAAGATAAAAGGGCGAACAGGAGAGATTAATGAATTTAGCGGCAGTCGAGAGAGCAACAAGGAAAGACTTTAATTGTGTCTAATTGTCATTTTAAGTTTGGTGTGGGCTAATTTTAGTAAATTCAATGTGCTGATGTTATGTATTGTTTGTCCAGCTCTTACGTTGGTCATAGGAGAAAAGGAGGAGAGAATAACAAGTGCTAGACCATCAGTCCAGGCTTCTCATTATTTCGGCTCCAACACCTAAAGACTGTTATTTATTGTAATAAATCCTCATAGGTCTCAGGCTGTGGGTGAAAGCTGCAGCTAAATGAAGCTACCTGGCCAGATTGAAGGCGTCGTCCACAAGCTGAGCTCTGTTTATCACCGGTATGACCTGAAACACACATCGTGACATGTTATTATCTACAAATACTGGAAGCCCAGTCAAAGACACAACAGCTGCATTTATATGGACAATATTTCTTCAAGTATTTCTGATTCCAGCTGAGCTGTTTACATGTAAAGCAGTCTGATAAGATGATCCACTGCATTCAATCAGAATAGAACTTCTGGTTCTGCCCACTAAAGAGTCGGGAAGGAAATGATCGTGTCCTGGGAACTTTTTTTTTTTGCTGTTTTTTCTGACCAAGCAGCAACTTAAAGTGATTCTCCTTTAACATACTGAACTCCAAAACCAATAAGCAGGTTTGAAAGGTATCTTATCTTCAAAATATCAAAGTTATCCACCAAAAGCACACAATTCATTTGCTGGAAACTGTAAAAAAAAAAAAAAAAAGAGAGAGAGAGAGAACAGAAGAATTGTTGGATTTTTTCCATTTTTTTGACAGTCCTTGAATGTATCATCTGTATGTGTTGTTTTCATCAGGACAATATATTAAATCTGAGCTGAAAATCATGATATTTGTTCAAAATCATGTTGTTCTTTCATTAAAATTGATCAAAAATAAAACATTTGCACCACAGTCTGTACAGAAAAAACTAAAAAAATCTACGGTTCTCGGTGCAACTGAGAAACCAGCTGGAACCAACGATGAAAATTCAGATATTCTTCAGTTGAACTGCAGGCAGCGTTTCCACAGAGCAGAGAGGAGACGGGTGTGGACACAGATTAAAAATGTAAATCGTTAAACATTAATAGCACGTAGAGTTTTTTTCCCCTTCCAGTATTGGTAAGACTCGTGGCTACTTGGAAAAATGTTGTACACGTTCATTCCAGTTCTCTAATTTTTGTAAAATAAATAAAGAAATTCAACGAAAACCTCTGGATGATTTAAGGCATTCTAACTGTGTCACATTGCACAGAGGACATTTATGTCTATGTGTGGCTGTTCTGTTTCCACAGAGGTTCAGGATTTTAGAATACAGCAAAAAATGAACCAACAGTGAGGAAAAAAAATGCAGGAGAGTGTAAGAGGAAGTTTACAGCTCACGTAGGGAGACAACAGAAAGAACAAATTACATCTAACTAAAAATAAACAACTGTATGAAGTATTTACATGGTTATTAGGCACCAATATTTCCTATTTAATGGATTATTACAGAAATGTTGACGCCTTCACTTTCAATCCAGTCTGTTCAGTGGTGACATGAGACATTTTTATTCAGATTGGACTGATTCTGATTATTAGTGCAATATCAGGTGACTGAAAACAATGAGGAAACAGGAACCTGAGGGACTTCACTGTAAATGACTGTGGTTCTGGTCAGACACTAAACAGAACCTTGTGTACCTGGTGGTCGGTGCTCAGCTGAGCGAAGAGACGCTCCCAGTTTCCCAGATCATAGTTCACCCGGTAGTACCCGGTCACGTTGATGTTGGCCAGAACCCACGCCGCTCCGCTCCTCATGTCCACGTTCACCACTGATGGAGTAACAGAGCATTAACAACAACAGAAACACTATTTATTCCATCCAAAGTGAGTGTTATCCACATCATTTCACACCTTCCTTCTGCAGCAGCCACCAGATATCTGCCTGGACCTCACCGGCCTTCATCCACCGAACAGGAACCGGCCACTCGTACCTGAAGGAGGCCATTCGTTTAACTTTTAATCAGGTTTTTATTGAGTCTGCAGCGCCCCCTAGTGTGTGGAGGTTGGTTTTCATGTGAAACAAGTTCCTCAATAAAGTGCATCAAATGAATGCAGCTCTGACAGTAATTAGCACATTTTCAGTTACACATTTGTGAAATTAGAAGTTCACAACTGTTGCTTTGTAATTATTTAAAGTATCTTCATGCATTTTTATTCAAGCAGAGTGCAGCATACAAAGGCCATTTACAAGCATTTGTTTTTCTATCATAGCATCAAGAAAAGCTCTTTACATCCTAAATTTATTCCAATAAGACGTTCTCAATAAAATATAAAGTGGAATCAGTGTCCCACATTTTAATGAATATAAATAAATGTGTGTATATTAAAGCTGCAACAATTATTTAATTAATTGTTAAATTAATCGCTCTTCTATTTCAATAATTGATAAATCAGTGTGACTGATCTCTCACGTGATGAAAGTCTAAATTCTGATTCCAGCTTCCTAAATGTGAATATTTTCTAGTTTCTTTCCTCCTCTGCGACAGTAAAGTGAACATCTGTGGGTTTTGAAGGAGTTCTCCTGAGCTTCGGCAAACACATTTTTAATAGTTTTCTGACATTTTATAGACAAAACTAATTGATTATTCCAGAAAATAATCAACAGATTAATGTACAGTAAAATAATTTTAGCCATGGCCGTAGTTTATACATTTATTGGTTAAAGTGACTTCCTTGTTTCATTTGGTTTTGCAGATTTAGTTAAATTACAAAACCTTAAAAACCTCAAAAATACTTCTATTAATATAAATCCATTGAATATCCCCCTTTTTTGGCGAAAACTCTGAATTTACACCCAAATGAGGCCCGTAAAGCTGAAAATTCAAGGTATGCTTAATAAAGTTTGGTAAATTTTAAGTAAATAAATATTAAAATAAATAAAGTTTAATGAATCTGCTCTGATTAATCGATTAGTTTTCAACTATTTAATTACTTGCCAACTATTTTTCGTAATCAATAAAATAATTTGATCCATTAAAAAGAAAAAAACACAAGTTTAAATTCTCAGATTCCAGCTTAAATGTGATTTTTTTTTTTTTTTTTGTCCTCTGTGAAAGTAAATCTTTGGGTTGTGGACATTTGTGGACTTGTCATCATTTAGTTTGTTTTTTTATGATGAAATATTAAATTTGTCAAATCAGGTGAAACAGGTTCAAACAGCTGCTACAGATGTTCAGGAGTTTAGGATCTGACACACTGACCTGCCGTGAAGTTGTTACGTACTTGTACGGTGATTCGACCGTGACGTTAGACTCTGGATCCAGCAGAAAGTGCTTCTGGGATACCTTGCCCGAGGTCGTATCTATGGTAACCACAGGGAAGCCCATCTGCAGCACCCAGGGGTTCATGATGTCTTGGACTGGACGAGGAAGTGAAACATCGTCTTTCACCGCCTGTGGAAATAAAATAATCATATAAAAGTCAAGTTTTCAACACAAACATTGACCAAGTTATGGCTCAAAACAACTTTTTGCCGAGAGCAGCAAAATAAACAAGTCTGATAACCTGCTGCATTTGATGCTTGACAACATCATTATTTGTCTTTGAAGAGGAAAAATCTGATTTAAGAGGCAAGTTTAGTTTTTAAGGAGTGTGTTGTCAGAATACTGAGCGATCTGAAAATCATAGTGTATCATCTAGAGATGGTACAGGTGTTCTTCTAGCTGTCTGTTGTGTCCAGGTGGACTCATCGATATGCTCTCATTCTTATTTACTGGAAAATCTGCGTTTTATGATTTCATCCATATTTCACATCTTTGAAATGACCCAACTTAATCGAGGCTGCATGATCTAATTTATTTAACATTTATTGAATATTTATTCCAAGTCAACTCCAAACTAACTGTCAACATGTCAAAGAAATCATCAGTGTGTGCGTTTTGTTTAAACTGGTGGACAAAGAGTTGAGTGTAAACAGTTAATTACGAACCAACAAGTCAGATCATTTTAACACAGCCGCGAACTGGTCTGAGTTTTATTCCTCAGTAGTTCTTGTGCTGGATCACCAGCTGACATAGTTTCTGTTTTCTGAAATCATATGAATATGTGCAGCTGGTCTGAGTTCTGAGTTTGTTGTTGTCATTTTAGACCCAAACAGCTGGTTGATTTCAGTCCACTGAGACATAAGTTCTGGACATAACAGGAAATAGCTGAAAACTCTTTAACAAACTGAGTCAAGTGTTGCAGTCGTAGCTGAATGTAACTGAAAAAATGTAAACTTTTAACAACATATTTTGAAATTTAAACAAAAAAATAAATAAATAAATCCTCTTACCATTTGTAGATGTTGCCACAAGTCATTCCCCACAGTGTTGCTGTAGGCAAAGTGATTGAGATACGACTGCAGGCAGAAGGAAAACAATCAATTTCACACTGTCACAATAACCTCAGACTGTTAATAAAGATGGCCGACATGCAGCACCCCAGAGGTGAAGTCAAATATCTCTATCGCCCCCTGGTGGTTGGCTGCAGTGGCGGTCATGTTAGTTAAATCTGGTTCCTGTCGTTTCAGGTTCATCTTGTCAGATTTGTGTTTGTGTGTTTATATTTCTGATCAGTTATTTGCTCCTGCTGCTCTGAATAAAGTGAACAAACATTCATAACTGTGCTGTAAGTCGTCCGAACAAGACAGCAGCACATATTTCTTTCCTATTTCTTTTTACACAGTCTATGATCAGAATTCCTTTTTGTGTGTCTGAGTGATGAGTTACTGTGATTCAGCTCAACAACCTGCATTCGTGCCACGTCTAGATGTACAATACATATTATGTAAACTTACACTGAGTCCCTGGACGAAGACCGGCTCTGAGAGGAAGTCGGACAGCATCCTCAACACCGCTGCACCCTGAGGAGAAAACACAGACACGATCCATCTGTCAGTCAATGGTAATAAGTATAAGTTGTGTTGAATGGCACAAAATTAATACAATACACATGATATACTATAGGCTCCAGCCCCCCCGCGACCCTAGTGAGGATTAAGCGGTGTATAAATAATGGGTGGATGGATGAGGAGCAGGAGAACACCAGTGACCAGTGGAGCAGGAGAACACCAGTGACTCAACAGCTGTGTTTTTATGTTTATGCACATTTTGAAATACTGTGTTAGAAAAGGATATCAGAAAACCTTTCCCAGTTTATCAACAAGTTATTAATCTCTCTTTAGGTGTTTTGTTTTTTTTTTCTTTACCTTTTTCTAAAATCAGTGAATGAGCTACATGAGAGACAGAAACATCTTTTCTGAATCAGTCTTGACTTACTCAGTCAGACCATTCTGTAGGACATGATGGTCTGGTTCCCCCTTACAATCAGTCTGCTATGGGTGGACAAACGCTCTGGCTTGTTTGTGTTATTTTTTTAATTTTTAATTCATTCACAGTCGTCTTAGGCAGAGCTAAGAACAGGACGCACCGACTTTGTTCACTCCAAATAGTGACGAGGGGAAACTTCTTGATGGAACAGGTCATAAAAACCAATAAAGGACATCCGGTGACTCTATAATAAGACTTTTACTGATACATACTTTAATAATCAGTGTTCAACAGGTGAAGGCTGTCTGTACTGTAGCTCTGGAGGAGCTCACTGGACTCATAAAAACCACAGATGATTTAATAGCTTTATGTACAATAGCTCTGATTGATGATGTGAGAAAACAAATCAGAACTGGACGTCAGAAGCTGGGACTTTCCGAGGTGCAACAACCAGCTGTCTTGTTTCTGCTACTGCAGTAAAATCCCCTTTGATAGATAGAGAAGCTAAATATAAGGCTCATATAATCCTGTGATTAATGATTAAACAAAGGTTTATGGCGAGCTGTACCAAAGTTTTTTCTATGATGTCTACGACCAATTGCGACTCATGTTTATGACTGGAAAACAAATCTCTGCAGTCCAGAGATGAATTAAGGTGGCTGCTGTGATCTGAACTACGAGGGTACTTTAAAAACTTTCCAGGCTCATCTGGAAACAAGGAGCGTAACTAACATTTTGGTCCAAAACTTTATGCTATAAAGCCTTATATTATAAGGCTTATAATATTTAAATGTCTGAAGCAATCAAAGAACAAACGAGAGGAAAGCTTGGAGCCGACTGTTTCTGCTCCAGGACAAGGCATTCATCCACACAGCACAGGTGGCAGAACTGTTGCTTCATGAACCTCATTCACCAACCTGCAGCTCCTGACTTCCGTCTGTTTCCCAAACTGAAATCTCACTTCTGTTTTCAGAGTGACGATGAACTCGCCCAAGCTGCTGATGAGCATCTAGAGGCTCAAGATGTGACTTTTTTCCACCAAGAAGCTTGAACATTGGTGGACCAAGTGCACTGAAGTTGAATGTTGAAAAATAACACAAGAACAACCTTCCATCTGTGACGTTTTCTGTTGAGGTTGAGAATATTTGAACTAATTTGAACAAATGCTGTAGTCCTGAACTAGCAGTTTTCAGTGTGTATGTTGCTACTCTGACGTTGTTGTTGTTGTTGTTATTTCCGGTAGTGAAGGGAATTTTAAAAACACGCAGAAAGCTGAAGGGAAGGAGAAGGTTGTCTGAAATAAGCAGCCAATAGCAGACTTGCACCTGCAGCCTACATCCAGTACGTTTAGGTCACATGACTGATCAGCTGTTTCTGCCTCAAGAGACTCTCTACAGAGCAAAAGATGGCCGACACCAGCTGACATGAAGGGATACTTACAACTTGACCAACTGAAAACTATTCCCGAAGACTTTTTTTTTTTTTTTTACATTTTTCTATCAAAGTTTGGTGTGTTTCTTCTTCTACGTTTCTTTTTCAAAGCTTCTACTCCTCTGTTTATTACAGCTAATGTAGCCTACAGCGCCACCTTCTGACGACACAACGCAGCCGAGTTTGTTCGCTTCAACGCAATAAGTGAAAACGATCATTTTCTTTTTTCGCTTCAAACTAGACAATTAAACGGAACCAGATCACCAGGAATACGTACCGAGGACTGGCTGTAAACTGGCACCAGGAAAGCACAAACATCTGTCGTTTCAAATGTGATATATAGACATTTGTGACTTGACATGAGGAAGACAGTCGATTAAACAGAAGCTAGGAGCACTTTGCAAATTAAGGATGAGTTTCAGCTATCAAGTATTGATACTGCAATCAGTTCCTGGTCTGTGTACCTTGCTGTAGGAGATCGTATCGAACTGCTCGGTGATCTGTTCTGGCAGGATGATGCTGTCTTCTTTAGAGGTCAGAGGATGAGAGGAAGTCAAGGCATCGACTGCAAACACTTTGTGGACGTCATCGAGGACAATCAAGTCTTTCTGCCGCAAACACAGGAGACACAGGAGTCTACAAACACGACTTTATACCATGATAGAAATGTATGAAGTCCAAATGCAACGCTGTGTTCTCACCACGTTCCACGTCGGCTCGGCGTTGTCGGCTCCCAGGTAGGCCACGTACGAAGCGAAGCCCTCGTTCAGCCACACCTCGTTCCACCAGCGCAGCGTCACCAGGTTACCAAACCACTGCACCAGACAACGACTAATCAGTGAGTAATCGATCAGCAAATCAATCAGTAAATACTAAAGAAACAGACAGCTCACCATGTGTGCTAATTCATGAGCGATGATGGTGGCGGTAGTTTCCTTATTCTTGTTGGAGGAGGTCACTGGATCGTAGAGCAGGTTGGTTTCTCTGTACGTCACCAAGCCCCAGTTCTCCATGGCACCGAAATAAAAGTCTGGCAGAGCGATCTGATCTGTGAGGGCAGAGAGCAGCGTTTTAATGTAGCTTAAAGCTTAAAGTCACAGCAATGCAACCTAAAATAAAGTCCACTCAAGCTGTATTGCAAAAAACATTTCTTTCTTCCCTCAAGTGGTGTGAAGCCCCGCAGGACAGGCTTTAATCCAGGAAATCACCAAAGTAAATACAGCCCTACTTTAAGTCATTCACCTTCCACTAAATCAGCTCTGTATGGTGCCAAGTTTGAATGCAGCAAAGAATGGTGGCAGATACTTTCATCAGCCATCTCACATTTCTTTTGCAGGACCCTAAAACCATAAAAAATAGGATGTAAATTATATCTTGATAGAGGTCAACAGCTGTAACTTACACGTCAATCAAGAAAACGTAACACAACAGCTTTATTAGCATCTTAAGTTTGTCCACCAGGCTGTCTCATTCACTTTTCACTGCAGTTTAATGTCTATACAAACTTAAATGTACATAAAAAATAAACTGCAATGAAGACGGAGTTAAGTCGCACCTCAGTGACTTTTAAATGTTGCTAAAATCAAGTCAGGTTTTGGGGTTTAAATCAGTTTCATCCTAAATCCAGCATATAAGATCTGCACTGATGGTGTAAGAGTAAAGAACTCCTCCAGTACCTGAATGAAAACATCAGCTGACCGGGAGGTGATGATGAAAGCGGGCTCACCTGACTTGCTCAGCGGATACGAGATGTTGTAGTACGACTGGAAGAAGTCCAGAACGGGTCCGGTCACATTGAGAGCGTAGTCGCCCTGCCCCTGTTCAATGGCCTTCCTCCGAGCCCAGATACGGATCTGAACACACAACAGCAAACTCTTCTATCACTTATGTAGGTGCAGATATGTTCTGAAACTTACAGGCTAAACTACAAAATACACAGAACGCACATTTGTGGAAGATCATTTTAAGCCTCAAATTTAAAAACTTACCGAGTCTTTAATGACACAAATTTCCCCGGGTCAAAAACAGTGCATAAAGCCGTTAATCTTTCACTGTCTCATTTTTTAAATCTCAAATATTTTCAGGGTTTTGATCATGATGTCATTGTTGTTGTTTTTTTCTGAAAAGTTAAAATAGGATATTTGTAATGATTAACAACACTACTTCCAATATATTTTTGGTAGAGCTACATTATGAAAAAAAAAAACAACTCACATTCGGCACTTTAAAGACAAAAAAACTGCCATAAAAATATTATATAATATTTTTCACTGACACATTGACATGAAAATAGATGAAAAAATACACAACTAATGGACAAACAATAATGCTCAGTTATGTGCAAGGATAAAATGTAAAAACAGCCTCTGTTTTCCATATAAAAACGCACTAATTTGCCTCATTTTCACAGGTTTTAAGACTGAGATGGAAATGGAGAAAGCCAACCATCTGACAGAGGAAGGACTTAAAATTATACGTACTTTAGTTGGAAACGCAGCTACAGACACTATATTTAAATTTACATAGCTTTTTATGTTTGTGTATTCCTAAAACTATTTCTTTGTTGAATCAAACGTCTACTTGAGCAGTCAGTAAAGTCTTTTATGCAGCTCATACATGTCAAATTTTCCAAAGTGAGGATTTACGTGTATTTATTCTCCGACTGTACGTCAGAGCCTCCGTGTTCCTGCAGTAAATATCAGGAATGTGACATCGTTTGATCGCTTCTGCATTTTCTTTGATGCATTAGTTTGTTGTCTGACTCTGGATAGAGCTAAACCTGTCATAGAAATAAATGACATTACCAGTGCTCTCTTTATGGAAGTTAGATCAGATTTATCAGTGACAAAAGTGAGGCTTGTGACACTTCTACATATTTTGTAAGCTCAGGTTTAACCTTGCCTTCACTTTTAATTACTTTGTGAACTTTATCTTTTTCATCTTTATTTTTTTGACGATGACTTTCATTAGAATTTCCATGTTTCCATGTGTTTTTCTTCTTTTTCACACATTATAAAAAACTTTGAATCACCTCTGTGTATAAAATGTGCTGTATAAATAAACTTGCCTTTCCAGACAAAACGACTATAGACATAAAATTAAATTAATGCAGAGGTCAGAATAGTTTTACCAGTTTTAGATTACGGTTGTTTCTCTACTGTAAACCAAATAAATCCACTTTATAGACTTGTTTTGTAGCAAACCGATAACAATAACAATGGCTCTGATCCAGTAAACTACGGCAACGCAGTGCAGAAACATATCCTGTTACCAGATATATGTTAAAATGGGTCAGTTTAACTAGTTAAAGCCTTCCAGTTTGAGAACCTCTTCACTAAATTGATGGAAATACGCCACAGTTACCACAGTGTCGTCTTGCGTTGCACGGAGGTGTGCGTAGTCAGAGACGACGATGGCCAGCAGGTAGGAGGACATTTTCTTGGTGGGCTCAAACTTGGTCTGTGTCACACCTACTCCATCGATAGTGGTGTCAACAACATCTGAGGAGTACAAACAAATTTCAAGAAGCTTAACTTGTAAATATGGTCGCCTGGTTAGAAAGCCTGTCACTTCAACTCAAGGCTAAAGGCCCAACTCATGAATGTCTGCGTAATGTTCAATAAAATAAAGAGTGTTTTTGTATCTGTCCCGCTTTAACACGTCTTTTGAAACTGAATGCAAACGGACCTGTTTCCATGCCGTTGGACAGTGCTACGGTTCCAGGCGGGTGGATGAGAGTTATGTGGAACACGGCTTTCATCGCTGGCTCATCGAAACATGGGAAAGTTTTCCTGGCGTGAGTCGGATGCATCTGAGAGGTGGCAACTATCCTGTGAACGATCAACACAATCTAAAAGTAGTTCACAAAAAAAAATACAAATGGACGTATACTGCAGATGGACACAGAGGAGAGAACTTACTTTCTGACTCCATCCTCTACATATTCACTCCTGTAAAAGCCGGCCAAGTCATCAGCTAGTTCTCCGGTGAACTCGGCATACAGCTGATACGTCCGTCCTGGACTTAATTTACCGTTCAGCTGGATAACCAGATACTGAGTCTTATTCTGCAGCCAGGTAGACTCAATACCTGGAGCAGATGCACCACCTGGAAAAGAAAGAACTGATGTGAAATACTGATGTGTACCTTTAACAGACGTCAAGTGTTAATATAAGAACGTCATCTGCAAACAATCACACTTTATCGGCTGCTTTCTATTACACAGTTAACAGCTCTCAAATAGTCAAACTTTTTTTGGAGGAGTTATTCAAGTCTACATTGTTTACACTTACTTTTCTTTTTCTACGTGACTCTTGCACATGGTAAGTGTAAAAATGTTTTCAAACTGTATTCATCACAGATTCTCCATAAACTAACTGCTTCAAATCAAACCATAGAGTCGTCCCTGAAGTCAAAGCAAAGTTTTACTTGCAGCAAGGAGCACCGTGTGCAGCACAGAGTCTGAACAAGTGACAAACTAAAAGCATGAAGCATTGGTTCTTATATACAGACAGTGAACAGAAAACAGAAGACAGCCTCCCGCAAATGTGTGTGTTTAGACACGGTGTTTTGACTGAGTGTGAGCTAAGGATGCCTTGTCCTTATTTCACACTCACACGGTGAAATAGAGGCAATGGACATTTACAGCATTTCCATACTTTTCACAAAGATTGAATTTTGTAGGGGTGGAAATTGGTAAAAATCTGGAAGCAACAAGTGTAAATGAGGTGATCTTTCAGACTTCAGAGCTCCTCTTTTTTGTGTTAATATCTAATGGAAAATTAAATTCTGATGTTTTGGAATTGTTCTCCAAATCATCAACAAGTAAAAACTGCAAAAAAAAAAAATTCCCAACTGGTAAAACCTTTTTACATCCTTGGACATCCACAGCTCAAAATGTCATCCGCTGCTGTGGAATATTTGTGCACATTTCTAACTGTAGTAGAAGAAGACTTAAATAACTAGCAAGACATTAAGGATTAAAATGATTTGTGGGCAGCTATTAACATGAAGTGACGCAGATTTTTTTTGCATCGAGTCTCTGTGTGTGAGTGCTTTGTGTACCTGAACTGGTGAGCCTGACAATGTGTGCATCGTCTAGTTTGGTGTAGTTGAGTTTGTTGGAGTGAATCAGGATCAGATCTGTTTCTTTCACACACTCGAACTGCACAGTCGAATGCCCTGATGGAAACACAAAGCAAAGACATCGAGTAGAGGTAAAATACATCCTGCTAAAAAAAAACCAAAAAACAAAAACAAAAACTGGACTAGATTTCTACACCATCAACATCCTGGTCTTATTGGGAAGGTGTCAGACTACCGCAACTTACTGGGGAACCAAAACATAATAAGGGTTCAGAATTCCAGGCTAGAAAAGCTTCGAAGCAGCTACGGAGACCTGCAGGTAACTCTCCACGCTCTATACTGCTGATTTGCAACAGAACGCTGCCTCTTTACAAACATCATGTCATTTCAGAGAGCGTGTTGCTGCATCGTCTCAGATTTTGTTCACAGTTTATTCATTTTGGACCCAAAACTAAGTTCTATAAAATAGTTTAGGGCTGGATTCTGACAATGACAATCACAATAACGCGTCATTGCTTTTCAGGTGAATTAATTAAAGTATTGTGTGCTACCAGACCCTGAGCTTACTTGGTACACATTCCTAAATAAAGTAGCTTTTCATCAAAATACCATAAACAGAAAAACACCCTCAAACATGCTAATCTGACCGCAGCAATGTTCAACGCAGCTCCAGCAGGAAAGTCACATACATCAGTCACTGGAGACATTTTAATGCCGAATATTTTACTGATAATACTTGTGTACCTTTTTCTAAAGCAGGATTCTTAATGCAGGACTTCTGCTTGTGTATTTTTAAACTATTAACACAGTTCCAAGGTGTGTGATGTAAACTAGCGGCGCTGTTACTAACCTGTGAAAATGTAGAGGCCGGTGTTCGGGTCACGGCTGAGTCGAGGCCACAGCGTGATGTTGTAATACTCAGGAACCAAAGCCGTGGGCAGACGATAGCTGAGGGGGAGCAAACACAAAGACCATCTGTTTACATGTGGATAACTTTATATCCATGTAGATTTATTGTCATTATGACGCAGTGCAAAGCAGCAATACAAGGACATTTTGAAGGTATTCCCTGAAGAAAATCTGCACAAAACAAGGAGTCTATAAAAAAAGAACATTTCAAAGCTTCATGAATCTCTAAAGCTGTACAGTCCACACTGTAAACACCTCCTTCCTGCAGAGCATCTTCACTTCTGTGCATCATTAAGAGCTGTTTCTTCACCACGCCGGTAATTTTCTGTTTATACAAAGTCTCCAGCTCCTCAGTCACAAGTTTCCTTAATGTTTTCTACTTTTCCTTTTGTTTTATACTGAAAAAAACCTTCCCCTCTGATACTCTTATCATTATCTTCAGCCTTGGCAACTCTCAGTCTGCTCTGAGCCACATGTGAGCTCGTTGTTCAGGGATTAAACAATACATACAAATGGAAGCTGTTCAGTGGTGCACAAGCATCTTCCATGAAGTATCTAGATGTTCCAAACTCTTCTGTAACTTTGGGTCTACAGTATAAAGCATTCTCACTGGAGGCCTTCTCAGTCATGGTGGCTGACGTCCTGTTGCACACATGTTTAGGATAAAGCAAAATAAAAACAATCACATGGCTCTGCTAGGCTCTAAAACTGTTGTGAAGATGACAAATGTTTCTTTGAAGTGTATATCTGAGCTCTGTTTTAGGCAGTGCGCTGACATTTTGTTGTCTATCTTGACACAACAACAACAGAAAGTTATTTTGCCGGCCTCAAAAGTCAAATCACAAGATGTCCTGAAAGCTAAGACTGCACGAGTTATGAATGTAGACAAAAGCCTGCGAGGACGATAACACATGATGTGGCAACGCAGCTCATGATGGGAGGTGAGGATCAGGTGACAATCAGACTTTGGGGAGACGAATGACGCACGTAATACAACATAAAGAATCCTGTTTACTTCAGCTGACCAGCTTGTTTTTTTTCATAAGCCACTCTCTGTGCTGCACAACAAATCTACAAGATCACAGACGACATTTTCCCTTTTCTCAGATGTGTTATGATTATTTTATTTTGGAGTAATTTAGCAGTCAGATTAAAATACAACCACCACACAGTATTATTATACTGTGGTACTGCTGCTGTTACTTCAGTAAAGGCTGTGACTCCTTCTTCCTTCCAGCACTGATGCCGGAGCTCTGCTTCACTTTCAGTCCTTTAAAGCGTCTCAGGCGTTGAAGCTTTTTGTCTGGTTACTGTCCTACCTGTCCCAAGGAGCTGTGACGTCATCACCATCGTCTCCTGTCAGGGCAAGAGTCCACAATGTGACGATGGTTGCCACGGAAACCAAGGCTAAGACCACGCACAAAACGCACAGCTTGCTGACCCGGCAGCTTTTCCCCATCGCATACAGATGTGGAGCAATGTGTCCAGCTGCAGACTAACACACAGCCGTACCGCAAAGAGCAAAACCACGTCTGCGTCGCGGAGGATTCTTGCAAACAATGACAAAGAGAAGCGGCTGCAGGCATTTAACTGCCCCTAAGACTTCTCCATAATAAAGCTGTGTCACCGTGTGGAATGAATGGATTATATATTAGCGCTGAGCTGCTCTCGTGGGAAGGTTGCAACTGGAAACTGCTGATAAACATTTGCTGTGCAGCGATAAATCATCTACAGTAACGTTCTAGTGCGCGTTCACATATCAGTCATAAAGCCTGCTGAGAGACGAGTTTATTGTCTCACAGTGTTCAAGGCCAAACTTTCAGCTGTTTGTCATATTGCACTGCATCACGTTTTGCAGATTCCAAAACAATAAGCACTGATACCACACAGTAAGGTCACATGTTTTTACTTTTTCAAAGTGTATGCATTTTATTTGGTCCTACACGTGTCAACTACACTGTAAAAAGAGACAATCTGGAGCAAGGGTGCCAGAAAAACACATTAAAAAAGGTTCAATACTGTAATGTTTTACAACTGTAAAAACTAGAGAAAACAGCAAATATATAGAAAACAAAAATATTGTTCAGTGGATTTAAATACAGTAAAACAGCATCATTTTATGGTCATACATTCTGAAAAAAACCAACAAACAAAAAAAACCCACTATCTACAAAAATGCTGATTTTCTATGTGGTCATTATGCAGTTTTGGCCTGTTTTTGGTTGTAAACTGATTATTTTTCTGTGATTTTACTAATTATTATCTGTAACTTACCAAAACAGAGAAAATCCATTGAATACTCAAACGATGATTTACCATTTTTGATCCTTAATATACAGAATCTGTATTTTTTTTTCTGATTCAAATACAGTAAAAACTGTGTAATTTTTCAGCAAAATGTTGAAAATGTTAAAAATGAAAAGACTACCATTTGTAAAAATACAGATGCTGTAAGTGAACATTATTTACAGTTGTAGCCTGCTTTTTTCCCCACGGTTAATGTGTATTTAAAATTTTTCCCCTGTAATTTTCCTGGTTAAAATTACTAATTTAACCAAACTGGGAAAATGTGTAAAATAACAGGAAAGTGTTAAAAATAAAAATAAAAATACAGGAGGAAGCTCCACTAGAGGACATTGTCTTCGACAATGCCAATGAGTTCCTTGAACCTGTCCAGGCAGAGAAACCCAATGAAAAGGCCCAAGACCCCCTGAGAAACGCTCCACCCTGGGCACTAACTTACCATTTCCTCCCTCCTCAGACCGTTGGTTGGACTGGCTATGTCGTTATCTACCTGTGACGTTTACTTTCAAGGAAGTAGGAAAGTGCTCTAACCTCTCATTAATTATTTCCATTTGCAACACAGTTTAAAGCTAAGCTTGACCTCAAATAATATTGCAGTCAGCAGTTTAGTAATAGCTGTGTAACACAACATGATAATCACACAAGCCACCATTTACATATGCCATTTAAGAATGTATTCGTTACATTCATTAAATGTCTAAGAAGACAATCCAAAAAACAGCTGCGACTGTGCTAAGAGAAACACGATGCCTAATATAAAGAAATGCGACACAAAGTCTGTATGATACACTACTTAAAGTTAAAATAAGCAAACTAAAAAAATAACACTAGAATGAGTAATAATGTCATTCATTCTGAAGTAGCAATGTACCGACACACGAGGCAACGCAGCTAATTAGTTCAACTATTTAAACAAAAAACAAAAACAAAAAACATTTTTTAAAAACTAAAAAACAATCTTTAAAAAATATTTTCAAATAAATAAATAATAAGTAAGTCTACCAGAGTGCAATTCCACCTCACATAACAGTCTTTTGATTAAATATGACAATCTAAGATGTACCAATACAGGACAAAACTGATTCATTTAATGTGGGTCTAGACAAAGCATTAGTCATGAAGGTATTTTGTGAAGTGATGGCCTATTTAAACGGCCAAATTTTAGAAAACAAACCAAGAATCAAAAGAAAAAAATTCATTTGTAGTTCTAAACATGTTTAGGGTGTTTGTTTGTTTTTTTACTCACTTTCTATCTCTACCTCTACATTATTCCTCTCTCCTACAGCGTCCATTACAACTACATGAAATGGTCAATTATGCAAATTTGCAGATGGCCATTTAGTAATTTCCAGCGACTTTTAGGACAGCCAATAGCAACTATCTATACTGAGGATTTAAGGTTCACTGCTTTAAAGGAATTTATTGTCAAATAATTATAGCCCAGTGACAAGAGTACACAGTAACATGAAAGAAAAATACCTCAAATGTGTACCTAAGCACTTGGCTTAATATTACATACCACAACTGAGCACTAAATTAACGTTTAAATGCAGTTTTTGTTTGTTTGTTTACAGCTTTTTACAGTTTCTGACAGTT